GTTAAAAATAAGCATTGCAGAAAGGAAGATGTTTAATCAATTTGAATAATCCTTTTCTTAAATTTTCTGGCATCTCCCTATAACGCTTGTTAAATTCTATAGCTGTAAGATATTATGTAAGTGCAGATTAACTATTCCACTAAGAAATTCTAAGTGATCAGGCTATTTTAATAGATTTTTCTCCAGTAATAGTAGGATTGAAATTCATAGGCGCTTTATAGACCTAAAACAAGATGCATATGAATTCAGGCCATTCCGAATAACAGACTTCCATGACAAGATTCATAAAATTGTATGAAGTTTGTTGTCAATCTGTCTTTAGCTAATGATTTTTAAATGGGTCCCCAAAGAACATACAATTTGACTTTGCTAATTTCACTGCAACAGATGGTTCCCTGTGTCGTGTGAACATACAAAACAAAAACCAGCAGTCCTGTAATCCTCCACAAGATGCCCTAAAATAAAAGATAATTACTGAAAATAGTAAGGCTCTTCTACTGAATCTATTTTCATTTGGTATTCTGAGTAGGTGTACTTAATATTGAATGCACTACTCATGTACAAAGCTATTTTTAGCTCTAGCTTAACAACTTTAAAACATTTGAAAAGCTCGGAGTAACAACAGACTATTACCTACTACTTGGGGGAGAGAAGAACGTGAACTATAACCACAAAGCTAAAGCGATGACTTTCCCCTCCTCAGGTTTCAGTAAATGTAAAACAAGTGTGTTACCCTTTCACGTACGGCACTGCCGGCTCCCCTCAGAAAAACTGCAAAGACCGAAGTCTGTTTGCAGAGCCATCCTACGTCTATTGCTTAGATCCCTCTGCCTGACACACTGTCTCCCACATCCATCCATCTACTAAGGCCGACTGCCTCCGTGAAAGCAGTTATCCCGCCATCACTGCGATGCTCAAGCAGCAGGCGCGTATCAGCTGGTAGCAGCTGAAAGGCCCGTCTTATTAAATGACCTCTCACTAAGCCTTAGCAACTAATGTATTAATGACTGAGAATATTTATATTTTAAGAGGTTATTTGCCAATATAGATATATATCAGATTGATAAAACTTCAGATGATTATAATATACTTTGAACACTTTGGATGGTTTAGCACTCATCAATTACTTGAGAAAGAGCCAGTGGACTGGGCAGGAGTTAAGAGACCCAGGTATTAGACTGCAGTTAGCCACCTGTGTGACGCAAGCAAGTTACTCTCTCATTTAAAGATACAAGCAGTTCGATCTCAAAGGCCCCTTCCAACTCTGAAGTCTGTGATTCTGTAAGACTCCCTCTGTGTAAAGTAAATCTGAACCATTCATGTGACGTGACTGATGTGCGCGCGTGTGTGTGTGTGTGTGTGTGTGTGTGTTCGTCTCCTTGACCCTGACTAAGCCAATTAATTCAGTGCACAATCCCAGTGAGCTAAATTATATTTAATCTTCATACAGAAGTAGACCAGAAAGAAGTTTAGTATCAGATCACTTTATTCTTCCTATGCAAAGATCTAACAAATCATAAAATCATTACCATAGCAACAGGAGGTTAAGCAGGAGTGGCTTCCTGGAAGCAGCAAAGCTGACAGGACTGTGAGAATCACGCCCATTTAACGTCCTTCGCTCCTTCGGGGTCACATCACTTCTTTCTCTTCTGTTACATTTGCTATAATGGCTGTCTTACAGCAAAGTGGAATTATAAAACTCACCTTTTGAAGACTACCCTTTCCTGCACGTAATACGTGATGACAGATGGGATGCACTTTCTGCCAGTTGCCAACGTGCACCTCCCAGTGCCCATTCCCAAAGTGAAGTAACAAAGCCCAGAAGAAGGCCCATGTTTGAGACCAGGAGGCATCTGCGGAGTCAGGCATCCCTCAACAAGTGTCCTGGTGCCATTACGGTGAGAAGTTCATTAATAACAGGAGTCCGCTCTCCCAATTCCTGTAGAATTGGATAGAGCCCCTCTTTTCAGATTTATAGAGACACGCATGATTTTTGGAAACCTGTTGTGAATAATGCAGCTTTATAGTGAATCTAGAAATAGGGAATCCCCAAAAGACAGCCAATTTAAACATCCCTCCAAAAGGTAAGACTGTGAAGACTGGAGGCAAATTACCTACATTTTAGTGTATCTTACAGTCAAGGGCGGCGGGGGC